GGGGAGGCCAGAGTGAAAACATAATCACTCCAGCCTGTGCACCAAGGGCCTTCTGTTCAATTTTTTTTGAAAGGCCAATAAGAGGCAGCCATGTCACTGTGCCCTCCCATTGGCCCCCATACCCATCATTCGCTGTTCCGGTGCCATTTTAGGGATCCTTGACATTTCCTGGGCCATCACTCTAGCAATAAGGAGACCTGGTAAGCCAGAGCCCCCCCTTTTTAGTAATAAACTTTGAAAAACTGTTTATTATTTAAAATGCCACAAAATATTCTTAAGATGCTATAGGACTTTGCTTCTGAAAAAAACCTAGTCAAATCTTTACCTTTGTAGCAACATTTTCAGATTTAGTTTTAAAATTTCTCCTTTGAAAGTTTCTTTCAAAGGTATTGGTAACACCATCTGCTTAAACCACTCTTTCGCAACCTAGTGCCTTGTAGGTGTACCATCCCTAGGCACTGCTGGCTGTGGATAATAGGCACTGCTGGGAGTGATAATGCAGAGCACACAAGATTGTGGAAGAGTTTTTAAAATTTGCAGCTTAGTCAACTCAGTCCATCATGTTTAGTGTGACTGCTGAACAAAATCTTAGGGAAATGAATGAAAAGAGGTATGCTGAATTTTGCTTAATCTGAGGAAAAGATACGAAGTCATGTTTCTGAATCTTCTGCCTCTCTAGGTATTCCCTTCATTTCAATCCACCTTCACTCTATTTTGCTTGACAGCTATTGCAGCATGTAAATCTGGCATGTTCAGCAATACTCTAGAAGGAAAAAAAAAGCTCAGGGTTGCAACAGGAGAATTGTGATTCCTTGATCACCTCCTCCTCAAATATGCATAGTGCAGCAGTCCATTAGCCCAGAAATGCTCAACCTTTTGTGTGCTATCTCTCATTCATAGGTGTCGGAGAACCTAAGTCCTATCATGATAGAAGCAAAAAATCTGCTTTTTCTGAGAAGTATTTTTAATGTTAGAAGACATTCTGTTATTACATCTGGTCTCTATACTAAGGCAGTGGGTGATTAGGAGTGTCCAGAATCATTATTAGCATACCAAAGAGGCATAGATGGATAATCTACTTCAGGTAGGTCAAGTGGGAGATGGCATGTCATACTTGCTGCAGATGGTTGGAAAGACTAATGTTAAATCAGTAACATCCTACCTAGACTACTTGAGTGAGCGGTGTATCTGATATACAGAAGAATCTCAGATTAAACAAAGATTTAAAACCAGTATAGACTGCAGCGTCTAGGTTTATATCAACTTGCTATATATAAAATACTAACATGAATTTTTTATATCTAATCAGGGCTTTAAAACCCTTTATGTACAGAATTCCAATTGTTCACCATCGTCAGACAGTATTCTGTAAGCCCAAAGTTAGCTGGAAGAAAAGGATTCTCTGAACTCTGTTCTGTTAGACAGGAATGTATTTCTCAAGGTTGCTTTGCGTTTAGGTATTTTAGGAGATCAACTCTGTGGCCAGCAAATAATTTTTAAAATGCTTTTTCAGTATCTGTTAATTTGAAGTGTTTCAACAAGCTTGAATGTCCCTTGGAACACTGCCAGGCCCGAGAAGAGGATATATACAATATTTATAGGATCTACGGATCAATGTGTCATTATTCCATCAAACTTTACAGTTCTTAAAATATAAAAAGATGAATGATTCAGCACCTTGCCTCTTGGGAGTTTCTGCTTTCATGAGAATTCTAGTTCTTTAAGTTGTGCTATGCTCAACTTTGTCTTTCAAGAGCCACAAACAGAGGCTGATCAGAACTACAGCTGCCCAGATACATTCTATTTCCAGTAAATGGAGGCAACATTTTGGGGGACAGCACAAGAAAGCAATTCATCTCTAATGTTATTAGTGCAGTCAATTACATTTTTTTATTTTTTATTTTAATGAAAGATGACTCAGATAAAATGACTTAATAATCATGGAGGTGGCGAAGCACACAAAATCATGGAGGGTCTTCATAACCAAGAGCATAGGAGAGTTATACTTAGGGAGAATGTGTTGATGCTTGCTCTTTTCGCACATTCTAATTCTTTACAGATACCAGGTTGCTTCTGGGCTTGATATTTCGGTCAGGAAATTGTAGAAAACACTGAAGGTACTTCAATATGAAGTCAAAAAATTTAAGAAGAGGATCTTCTCAGTTAAGATTTTTTGAATCAGTTATATTAAACCACTCCAAATGTCCTTGTTAGTATTGCCTCTTCTCCAGTTCTTTGCTAGGCTCTACAAATTCCCATGTAGATGTGGTACTTCTATCCTGTGAACAAAAAGAAAAAGATACAAACCTTTATTATACTGTACTTCTACAACTCAAATTTGTATTTGGAATATTAGTACCCAAGCCTAGAAAGGGAATGAAATAGACCAGACAACATGGCCCATGGCTGTTCTGTAGTCCAAAAAAGTAACTTTCCCCACTTCTGATCCTAGACTTGTTTAGTCTGAATTAATTAATCAATCAATCAATCAATCAATCAATCAATCTATCTATCTATCTATCTATCTATCTATCTATCTATCTATCTATCTATCTATCTATCCATCCATCCATCCATCCATCCATCCATCCATCCCGCCTATCTGGGCTACCAGTCCACTCTAGGCAGCTTCCATACAAAAACAGACAATAAAACACAGAAAAATATATGCTGATTCAGTAACAGCTACAATAAAAAAAAAATAGGAAAGTAAGAGAAAGAAAAGGAAAAATAATTAAGAGTTGGCTGGAGGGAAGGCCTGAATGAACAACCATGTTTTTAATTGGGTTTTAAAGAAGCATGCCCAAAGATTTCAGCACAGCCTACTGGTAAATATATGTGCACAGGATTATTCCATTTGGTTCAGGGTCCTGTTTACTCCAAACTGGGGCGAGGAACATGTACCCCTCCAGATGCTGTTAGACTGAAACAGTCATCCACCCTGCAGCCATGGAACCAGGGGTGAAAAACAGTGGGAGTTGCAGCCCGACAATGCATGGAGGCCTACACCTTGCCGAGCCCTTGTGCTAAGAAGGCGCCTGCCTCTTCAACTTCCCCTGTGAAACTGGGAGGCCTACACCTTGCCGAGCCCTTGTGCTAAGAAGGCGCCTCTTCAACTTCCCCTCTGAAACTGGTGTAACAGTTGTATTAGTTGATAAATCAGTTAAATCAGGCTCAAGCTTAACATTTTTTACTTGAACCTCCATATCTACCCACCAGTGAAGAAGGGAGATGATGAACTTAAGATTTAAGGACAGTTGGCTTCTTGTTTTCAGAAACAGCACAGGATTCACAATTAATTTCCTTATACTGAAATCCAGTACAAGTTCCCTTCAGTTTTAGGAGCTGCTGGGAGATCCTTGTTATGGTTAAACAAGTGGCTCTGTTTTATCACAATTTATCCCACGAACTAACAGGAACCCAATCTACTTATCTGCCACCCTGAATTAGCTGAACAAATCTATGAAAGAAAAAAATATATACATTGTCATTAAAAATATGCCTTTACCGAAGCATCCTAGAAGAGATTATGACAGTTCCTGGGATACTTAGGGAATGACGGCTCCAGATCAGCAACCAACCTTTTTTCTACTTGTTACCCACCCAAGATGGCATTTTCCATTTCAAGTCTTTCCATGTACTTGCATAAAAAATAATAAATGAATGAGAACTGCATTAAGTGTACTTTGTCAAGCAGATTTTAAAATAATCTGTTTTGAAAATAGAATTATCCAAATAACATGTTGCAGTCATAGTAGCTACCTCAGTAAATTGTCTTATAATAATTATATGCAATCAAATTAATTCAGAATTATGGCAACCCTTCCCAAGGTTTTCTAGGTATGAAGGATTCAGAAGTGAGTTACCATGCGCTTTTTCTGGGGTCCTCTTGGCCTGTGCAGCTTACTCAAGTCTACACTGTCTGGTTCTTCTCTGAGAAGGCACAGTGGGGAACTGAACTCCCAAAATCCGGTTCCACAGCCAGATACCTAACTCACTATGTTACTAAACAGCCTTACTAAGAATAATAAGCAGGGTCACAGTAATACAAAGACTAATAAGACAAACCAGAAGCAGAACACTTCATGCCCTCTTAACCCTCTTAAACCCATGGGATTGTTGTGGACCCCAGGAAATGTTTCAAAGTTTGTAAAACTTACAAAAAATAAAAATAAAATCCAACCTAATCCATTTCACACCCAGGTTAACTTCACATACAGTGCAACCAGTTGTTGTGCGCTTTATCTCCCTGACCCTGCTTTTTTATTTCTAAAAAAAGAGAGAGGTTACTTAGCTGTAGCCCTGGTTCTTCGAGAGGTCATCTATGAACTCATACTAATGGATTAATCTGCACCTGCGCAGAGGTTTCTGGAATCTTCCAGAGCTAAACACTTGTTCGCCAGGACCACCACCCCTAGCGCACATAGTCCGCCCATCCTGGCTAGTGCCTCAGTGCCCACCGCTGAATAAAATGAGAGAGAGGCGTGATGGAAAGAGGGGAGGACGGGCAAGAAGTGTGAACTGACAGATGACCACTCGAAGAACCAGAGTTATAGGTAAGTAACCTCTCTTTCTTCTTCATGGTCTCTATGAATGCACACAAATGGGTGATTAACAAACATACCCGACCGGAGGACGGACGTCATGGAAGAACAGACGACAGGACCGCTTGTCCAAATGCAGCATCCGACTTAGCCCAGAGGTCCAAGCAGTAATGAGAGGCAAAGGTGGATGGCATGGACCACGTAGCAGCCCTGCAGATATCAGGGACAGAAATGCCTCTGAGGAATGCTGCCGAAGTAGCCACTGCCCTTGTAGAATGAGCCTTAATTCCAACTGGAAGAGGCTTCTTAGCCAGCTGATATGCTAGGCGAATGGCTGATACAAGCCACTTAGAGATGGTTTGGGAGGAGATAAAGCATCCTCTGTGTGGTAAGTGCTGAGAAACAAAAAGTCTCTTGGATTTGTGGAAAGAAGGCCAATGCTCACCTAATGTCTAAGAGGTGGAGAGAACACTCCAAGTCAGTAACAGGTGATGGGAAAAGGTAGGTAAAATGATGGGTTGCTTAAGGTGGAACTCAGAAACAACCTTTGGAAGAAAGGAAATATTGGGATAAAGAGTGACTTTGTCCGGGTAAACTTGCAGAAAAGGAGGGTCGACTCTAAGCGCAGAAAGTTCTGAAGCTCTACAAGCAGAAGTAATGGTCACAAGGAAGGGGGTCTTGTAAGCAAAAAGGTGATCGGACACTGTGGCGAGAGGTTCAAAAGGCTGCACCATTAGGCTTTGTAGAACAGTATGTCGTGGCCATTGCGGAGGGAGGTGTGGTCTGGTCGGTTGTAGACTGGAGACCCCCTTAAGAAATTGTTTAAGTTTTAGTAATGATGAAAGAGGGAAGATGCTTCAGAGTCATGCGGCTGATGAGCTACTATAGCAGAGAGATAGACCTTGATAGTAGACAAGGACAAATGTTTGCTTAAGAGGTAAGGAATTGTAGCACGGTGTGAAGAGTTGTAGGTGCAGCTGGGAGATGACGCTGATCTACAAATTTAAGAAAGGTAGCCCATTTATAAGAGTACAGCTACATGGTAGCATGTTTCCTAGCCTGTGCTAGGATGGCAGCTACCGAGGGTGAATTCTCCATGCTGTTAGGTGGAGTGCGAGAAGATCTGGGTGAAAGGTTTGACCCCGATTCTGGGTGAGAAGGTGGGGTTTTATTGGAGGAAGATGGGGGAAGTCTATGGAGATGGAGCGGAGCATGGTGAACCATGGTTGTCTCGGCCACCAAGGGGTAACGAGGACTGCGTTGGAGTGATCGTGACGGATCTTGGCTATTGCTCTGAGAAAGAGAGCGATGGGGGGGGGGGGGGGG